AATGTGGCAAGTCCCATGTGTTTTCGGACCTTGATTTCGCCCAGGAGTGCCCAGGAGGCTCCAGGAGAGCCCAGGAGAGCCCAGGAGGGCCCAGGAGAGCCCAGGAGGGCCCAGGAGGACCCAGGAGGCTCCAAGAGGCACCAGGGGGCCCAAGGAGGGCCCAGGAGAAGCTCCAGGAGGCTCCAGGAGAGCCCAGGAGGGCCCAAGAGGTCCAAGGAAGACCCAGGAGGGCCCAGGAGCCCTTACGAGGGATCGTGGCCCTGGGAGCGCTGACGTAGCGTAATTTACGAGGGATCGTGGCCCTGGGAGCGCGGGTGTAGTGTAATTTCATGCTCAGGCCACCCAGGGAGATCTCTAACATGATTGTCCCGAGCTGGAACCGCGTGTTTGTACGTGTCCAGGCCACCCTGGGGATATCTTTCATGGTTGTCCCGAGCTGGCACCGTGTTTTTACGTGTCCAGGCCACCAACACGACGCTTATCCCCAGCACGTTCTGTAGCGCGTCCCCTTGGCACGTCCCGCGGTGCGTCCCCGTGGCACGTCCCCTGGCACGTCGCCTGGCGCGTCCCTTGGAACGTTCCGCGGCGCGTCTTCCTGGCATGTTTCCTTGTCAATTAGCTCTGGGGCAGCTACTACGTGGACTATGTACTCAGGCAGCTCGAGCTTAAGATCCAGATCAGTTCGGTCAGGACTCGGATGCAAAGGAGGACTCGATCCACAACGCTATAGAGCACAATCGCCACGTGGCACATCGCAGTTCAGCACGGCGCAGCACAGCACAGCCTTCGGCACGGTACATCAAGATCGACAAACTCAGCAGTGCAATTTGGCACGTTCCGTGGCGCGTCCTGTGGCGAGTTCCCCTGGCACGTCGCGCGGCGCGTCCCCTGGCACGTCCCGTGGCACGTCCATGGGCACGTTCCGTGGCTCGTCCCCTTGGCACGTCCCACGGTGCGTCCCCGTGGCACGTCCCCTGGCACCTCGCTTGGTGCGTCCCTTGGCACGTCCCGTGGCACGTCCATTGGCACGTTCCGTAGCGCGTCCCCTTGGCACGTCCCGCGGTGCGTCCCCATGGCACGTCCCCTGGCACGTCGCCTGGCGCGTCCCTTGGGACGTTCTGCGGCGCGTCCTCCTGGCAGGTTCCCCTGTCAATCAGCTCTGGGGCAGCTACTAGTTATGTGCTTAGGCAGCTCGAGCTTAAGATCCAGATCAGTTCGGTCAGGACTCGGATGCAAAGGAGGACTCGATCCACAACGCTATAGAGCACAATCGTGGCATGGCACATCGCAGTTCAGCGCGGCGCAGCACCGCACAGCCCTCGGCACGGTACATCAAGATCGATACACTAAGCATTGCATTTGCCCGTCGCCCAATCAGGTGTTTTTGAAACGTTGCCGTGTCTTACATTTCTATATTCCTCTCCGGGTTCGTGGGTCGATCATGTTCCGAAGAGGGCGCGGGCCCAGGGCTCTCTTTTAGTGACTTAGTAAGTTTATCCCCCCCCTGGGGGGGCCGGCAGATTTCCGCTCGATGAAAAACAATGTAAAGTCAACTTCGGCGTGAAACAAATGCGTTTCGCGCGTGCCCGCTCGAGGAAAGTGAGCCCCCCACCTCGGATCCTCGATAAATAACGGGGTCCGCGGACCCCCGTTTTCCTTTGTAGAAAAAGGTGCGGGGCTTTTTTAGCAGAATCTTCCATCAAACTAAAAAAAACGAAGGCTGGAGCCCCGACCGCGACGCGGAAAAGCGCCCCGCGCGCAGGAATTCCGAGGATGTCTCGCGCGTGCCGCGTCCCGCGCGCAGGAATTTTGGAGGATATCAGATATCTCGACTAATTTGAATTGTTTTTGCAGGAAAGGGCTTAGGCCAAGGTTTCTCTTTTTCCCGGAAAGGGCTCAGGCCCAGGGTTCTCTTTTAGTTGGTAAACCTGTCCCCCGGTGCCAACTTGAAGGAGGCCGGCGGATTTTTTCCCTGATAAATATCGAGGTCGAAGGAGGCCGGCGGATTAAAATTTGAGAATGTCTCAGGCGAAACGCTTGTTTTTGAAATCCCGATCGATAAATCACAGGGTGCGGGCCACTTTTTCGTGCGTTGAGGATGTCTCGAGCGAAACGCTTGCTCCGAAGAGTTTGCCGAGGATGTCTCGAGCGAAACGCTTGTTTTGTTACTTATGTGCCTATAGATTCGCCCTCTCCAGGGGCCCACCCCAGCACGACCACACCCCAGCACGACCACACCCCAGCACGACCACACCCCAGCACGACCCCACCCCAGCACGGCCCCACCCCAGCAAGACCACACCCCAGCACGACCACACCCCAGCACGACCTCACCACAGCACGACCACACCCCAGCACGATCACGCCCCAGCACGACCACGCCCCAGCACGACCACTCCCCAGCACGACCACCTCCCAGCACGACGACGACGACGACGACGACGACGACGACGACGACGACGACGACGACGACGACGACGACGACGACGACGACTACGAGGGGGATCCGCCCAGGGGGCGGCGACAGGCAACCACTCAACCGATGCAGCCACGGACTCCCTGTGTGTTTGATGAGTGGCGCCCGTACCGTTGCGTGCGTTACGCGTCTCCTCGTGGTTGTCCTGGTTGAGTGGTTGCCTGTCGTTGCTCGCGGTGCTAAATCACAGGGTGCGGACCACCCCAGCACGACCTCACCACAGCACGACCACACCCCAGCACGACCACGCCCCAGCACGACCACGCCCCAGCACGACCACGCCCCAGCACGACCACCCCCCAGCACGACCACCCCCCCAGCACGACCACACCCCAGCAAGACCACACCCCAGCACGACCACACCCAGTCGCACCCCCGTGGAATGTTTCGTGGGGTGTCTCGTGGAATGTTTCGTGGGGTGTCTCGTGGAATGTTTCGTGGGGTGTCTCGTGGAATGTTTCGCGGGGTGTCTCGTGGAACGTTTCGCGAGGTGTCTCGTGGAATGTTTCGCGAGGTGTCTCGTGGGATGTTTCGCGGGGTGTCTCGTGGGATGTTTTGTGAGGTGTCGCCCAGTTGGGTATCGTGAAAACGTGACCATGCTGCGCATGTCTATATCCCTTTCCGGGTTCGTGGGTCCATCATGTTTGTGGGTTTACCTCCGGGTTTGACTTGAGGTGGGCCGGCGAATTTCTTTTGCGATAAATATCGAGGTCGAGGTGGGCCTGCGAATTTAACATTGAGGATGTCTCGAGCGAAACGCTTGTTTTTCATCATGTGATGAGGATGTCTCGAGCGAAACGCTGGTTTTTGCAGAATTGGGGGATGTCTCGAGCGAAACGCTTGTTTGTCAGAATGGTTGAGGAAGTCTCGAGCGAAACGCTGGTTTTGCAGAGTTGGGGTATCTAACATGGCGTCGGGCCCAACGCCGAATTATGAGGAAACGCACGGAGGCCGAAATGAGCTACCCGAACACATGTCCCAACACAGAAAAGTTAGGGTTTCTTGCTCTGAACAGGGGGTTGCGCTTTGGGGGCCTCTCCGGGGAAGACGTTGCGAGGATGTCTCGAGCGGGAGCGCGAATTCAGCGTATCCAGGTCACGCAGAGGGGTATCTAACATGGCTGTCCCGGGCACGGCGCAGCACAGCACTGCCTTCGGCACGGTACATCAAGATCGATACACTCAGCATTGCAACTTGGCACGTTCTTTGGCACGTTCCGTGGCGCGTCCCGTGGCGAGTCCCCCTGGCACGTCGCGCGGCGCGTCCCCTGGCACGTCCCGTGGCACGTCCATTGGCATGTTCTGTAGCGCGTCCCCTTGGCACGTCCCGCGGTGCGTCCCCGTGGAACGTTCCCTGGCACCTCGCTTGGCGCGTCCATTGGGACGTTTGGCGGCGCGTCCTCCTGGCATGTCCTCCTGTCAAAGAGCTCTGGGTCAGCCACTATGTGCTAGAGCAGCTCGAGCTTAAGATCCAGATCAGTTCGGTCAGGACTCGGATGCAATGGAGGACTCGATCCACAACGCTATAGAGCACAATCGCGGCATGGCACATCGCAGTTCAGCACGGTTCAGCACAGCACAGCCCTCGGCACGGTACATCAAGATCGATACATTCATCATTGCAATTTGGCACGTTCCATGGCGCGTCCCGTGGCGAGTCCCCCTGGCACGTCGCGCGGCGCGTCCCCTGGCACGTCCCGTGGCACGTCCATGGGCACGTTCCGTAGCGCGTCCCCTTGGCACGTCCCGCGGTGCGTCCCCGTGGAACGTTCCCTGGCACCTCGCTTGGCGCGTCCCTTGGGGCGCTCCCAGGCGCGTCCTCCTGGCATGTCCCCCTGTCCATGAGCTCTGGGGCAGCTACTATGTGGTCAGGCAGCTCGAGCTCACGACCCAGATCAGATCGGTCAGGACTCGGATGCAAAGGAGGGCTCGATCCACAACGCTATAGAGCACAATCGCGGCATGGCACATCGCAGTTTAGCACGGCGCAGCACAGCACAGCTCCCGGCACGGTACATCAAGATCGATACCTCCATCATTACATTTGCCCGTCGCCTAATCAGGTGTCTTTGAAACGTTGCCGTGTCTTACATTTCTATATTCCTTTCCGGGTTCGTGGGTCGAGCATGTTCCATTGTCAAGCACTTTCAGTGGAGCCCGAACCCAGCGGGTCGCCTGGCGGGTCCAGTCTGGTCTGCTTGTCGACCGAGGAAGAATATACCGGCATAAACATACATTTTCGAAGCTCCGCGCGAATCTTTTGGATCGGCGCTGGGGCCCCCTGGCGGCGCCTCCGGCGCCGCTATGTCTGGCACGGTGGGGCGTTGGTTCAGGAATGTGCCCAGGAGGCTTCAGACCCTGGGGATTCCTTATCTGATGGAGGCGGCAGTGATATCCACGGCGCATCCTCAATTGGTGTTCCACTCGCTTCCAGACCCTGGACTCCTTATCTAAAGGTTATTTACCCAATGCCCTCACCGTAGGTACTCGGCCAAGGGCGAATCTTAGCACCGCCGCCCTCCCAGGTCTTTCAGCTCGCTGGGCGACTTTGAGCAGTGGTTCGCCCTGCCCAGCGCGCAGGCCCACAGGTAGCAGCCCCCCCGGAAGCGACGACGACGGCAGCGTCGACGTTATCGTCGTCGCCGGAGGGGTGGGGAAGGAGGAGGGGAGGATGGGGGGGGCGGAGGACGAGGATCATGGACGAAGACACTGTGTAAGCATGCACTTCCGGAGCTCCGCGCGGTTTTCGCGGAACGGCGCTGGGGGCCCCTGGCGGCGCTTTCGGTGCCGCCCTTGGCGCGCTCCGCGCGCCAGCGATGGGAGGTCCAACGCAGATTCAAGAAATCCGCGCGGACCGTCGGACATTTATGTTTACATAATTTTTTCTTCCTCTAGAGAAGCGAAGAGGAGAAGGTGGATTGGATCGACTCGGCAAGAGGGATCGTCGAAAACCTCAGCGCCGTTTGGGGTCCCCCTCGGTGGGGGGCCACAAGGTGGGAGCAATTTTCTCAAGAACAGGATCGGTCGTAAACACCGCGGCCCCACCCAACCACCCAGTGGAGGAAGTAGAGGGAAGAGGGTCAGTCAAGTGGTGGTGGTGGTGGAGGAGGAGGGTGAAGAGGAGGAGGCGTGAGATTGCAGGGTGTACGGTGTTGTTGGTTTGAACGTGATGCGGCGGCGCGCATAGGTTTTCGGGTGTTGTTTGTTTGACGGTTTGATGGGGCGGTGCGCGTAGGTTTCAGGAGGATCAGCAGGACAAGGCGAGTGGGAGAAAGAGGAGGAGGATGGGGCAGAACGGGAAGGAGGGGGCTGGGGTGGGGGGACATGGAGGTGAGGGACGGGTGCTCGAGGTGGAGAAAGGCGGAGAGGAATTCCACTATCAGGTGCAGCGGGGCTCTGTTAAAACATGTTGTATAGTTCCCTGGGCACTTTGGGGTTGCATACTCTGCTCCTGGGGACCATCGCCTGAACGCCACACTTTTCGCCGCCGTCGCTGACAGTGAGACCCCCCCCGCACCTGGCGCCCCCTCCCTTCCCTCTCCCCTGCCCCCTCTCCCCCTTCTGAGTCTGAACCACGCGCGTCGCCGTCGTGATCGCTGCGCGGTGCCCTGGGCATTGCCCACACACCGCGCTCCCCGTTGGCCCTGAACGCCACACGTCGCTGCCGTCGCCGTCTCGTCGGGGCCTGGGCACTCACCACAGTCCGTGCCCCCCACTTGCCCTGCGTCGCCGCCTCGTGATGCCCAGAGCACCTCGCGCCCCCTTCTTGGCCTGAACGCCGCACGCCGCCGCCGTTGCTGCCGCGTTAGTGTCCTGGGATGGCGGAAAACACGCCTCGCGTGCGATCCGTCAGTCGGGAGAAATGAAACTATGGGGGAGTCCGAGGGGGTTGGCAGGCGCACGGGCAGATCTAACATGTCCATTGTTCTGTCATGTTCGGCCCTAGATGGCCCAAGCCAGCCCCAAGAGCGCCTCAGAGGGCCCCAAGACGGTCCAAGGCAGCGAGCGCCCAAGCTACCTCCAAGACGGCCTCTGGGAGGCCCGAGAGGACCCCAAGACGGCCCAAGAGCGCTCAAAGAGGGCCCAAGATGGCTTCAAGACGGCCAGCGAGGCGTTCAAAACGCCCCACGAGGCCTCCCAAAGGACGCCCAGGAGGCAAACGCAGCTCCATTCTTTACGGAACACGTGCATGCTTAGCACATCCGGTTCTTTGGTTTAAACAGCGTCCACGACCGCCTAAGAGGCCCCCAGGATCGCCCCAAGGCAGCACAAGAGGCCCCCAAGACGTCCCAAGAGGGCCCCAAGACGGTCCAAGAGGGGCCCCAGAGGGTCTTGAAAGGCTTCGGGAGAGTCCCAACATGGCCACAGGAGGCCCCCGAGAGGTCCCAGGAGAGCTCCCAGAGGGCACCCAGACGGCCCAAGAAAACCTCCAGAGGGCCCCCAGGCGGCCCAGGCCCCTTAAGACGGTCCAAGAGGGCCCCAGGACGGCCCGAAAGAGCCCCGAGGGGACTTGCAAGAAGGCCCGAAGAGGCCATATGCATTGATGTTCGCAAGGTGCAGTTTGTACGTTGTTTGGTATACGCACCAGAGTCTTACCACCCAGAGGGCTTCAAGACACGACGCAAGCGATCTCGCGCCCTCGCAACGTAAAAGCGCTTTCTGTCCTCGTGCGAAGCAGGTGACGGAAAGAGCGAGGTACGAGTGATGACGTTCTGGTGGGGCGACGCCCTCTAGGGAGGGGTTCAGGGGAGGAGCATAGGGTGGGGAGGTGGGGAACTCCTCCCCCAGCATCGCACAAAACGACCCAAGATACTCCCGACGGCCCAAGAAACCCTCAAGAGGAGTCCAAAAGGGCTCCAATACGGCCCAAGAGCGCTCGAAGAGAGCCCAAGACCGCCCAAGGGCGTTCCAAGATGGCCTCAGAAGGCCTCCAGACGGTTCAATAGAGCCTCAAGACGGCTCCAGAGGCCCTCAAGAGGGCCCCCGAGAGGGCCTCAGGAGGCCAAACATGTGTATATTATGTGAGGTTTGTCGGGTTCTCGCTGTTTCGTACCAAGAACGGCCCACGTCGGCCCAAGAGGCCGCAGAGATCGCCCCAAGACGGCCTCAGGACCCCCCAAACGGGGCCTCCTCGTGAATTAGCTCTGGGGCTGCTACTATGTGCTGAGGCAGCTCGAGCTTACGATCCAGATCAGTTCGGTGAAGACTCGGATGCAAAGGAGGACTCGATCCACAACGCTATAGAGCACAATCGCGGCATGGCACATCGCAGTTCAGCACGACGCAGCACAGCACAGCCTTCGGCACTGTACATCAAGATTGATACACTCAGCATTGCAACCTGGCACGTTCCTTGGCACGTTCTGTGGCGCGTCCCGTGGCGAGTCCCCCTGGCACGTCGCGCGGCTCGTCCCCTGGCACATTCCGTGGCACGTCCATTGGCACGTTCAGTAGCGCGTCCCCTTGGCACGTCCCGCGGTGCGTCCCCGTGGCACGTCCCCTGGCACGTCGCTTGGCGCGTCCCTTGGGACGTTCCGCGGCGCGTCCTCCTGGCATGTTCCCCTGTCAATCAGCTCTGGGGCAGCTACTATGTGCTAGGGCAGCTCGAGCTTAAGATCCAGATCAGTTTGGTCAGGACTCGGATGCAAAGGAGGACTCGATCCACAACACTATAGAGCACAATCGCGGCATGACACATCGCAATTCAGCACGGCGCTGCACAGCACAGCCTTCGGCACTGTACATCAAGATCGATACACTAAGCATTTCATTTGCCCGTCGCCCAATCAGGTGTCTTGGAAACGTTGCCATGTCTTACGTTACTATATTCCTTTCCGGGTTCGTGGGTCGATCATGTTTGTGGTTTTCGTTTTTGGGGTCCAGAACGGCCCAAGACGGTCGAAGAGAACCCAAATATCATCCCAAGACGGCCCCAGAGGCCCCCCAGCCCGCAAGCCGGCCTCGATACACAGTCTTTTCTTGATTCTGACCACCCAATGCGACGAGTCTGGTAGCGCTTTGCTTTCAGTACCTGGCAACCCCACAGTCTGAATATTCTCAGGCTCCAGCGCAATGTCGAGCAGACGGTCACCAGCAACATGCCGAGGATTGCCGATAATCGCTGTCAAAACCATTATTGGCCAGAAGCCTCGATGGACGGATGTAGAAGAAGGCCGTGCATTATCGGTGAAGGCCCTCTTGGGCCCCGTGTGGATCATTCCTAGGCAAAGGAAGGGAGCTAGCAGCTAGGAGGAGAAAGAGGAGGAGCACGAGGAGGAGGAGGAGCACAAGGAGGAGGAGGAGGAGCAAGTGACGTCGACGTCTGCGTCGCCGTCGTCGACGTCTCAACTCTCGGGCCGTCGGCGCTCGACCCTCCGCGCCCGCTGCCTTCCCTGGCCACGGCGACGATCACTACGACGACCACGATCACCTCGACGACGACCACAGCGACGACCACGGCGACGACCACGGCCACCACGACGACCACGACGACGACGACCACTGCGACTGCGACCACCACGACCACGGGGGCCACGACGACCACGGCGGCCATCACCACGACCGCCTGCGGTCAGAACAGGCGCGAGGACGCCGCGCGGGAGGACGGCGGCCACAGCGAGCCGCCCGCCGAGGCGCCGCCCGCGCCCGCTCGGCCGGCTCGGTCCGGCTCGGTCGGCTGCCGCGCCGATGGCCATCGTCTTCGAGGGCCTCGTCTTCGAGGGGTCGAGAAGTTGGTGTCGTCTTCGGGGGGGGGGCCTCGCATTCGAGGGGTCGAGAAGTTGGTATCTCTTCCTCGGCGGAATGCGGCGGAAGGCCGGCGGAAGTAAGTAAGTTTCGGGTTCAGAGTTTTCGGAGCCCGCCACGTGTGCTTTGGGCGCGCGCTCACGGCCGCCAGGGGTCGAGGATTGAGGGCTCGGGAGGTTGCTCTTGTGGGCCTATGGGGGGTGGATCCTGGGGCGCTCTCCGTGGCCACGCCCGAGCTCGCTCCGAAGTCCTGGTCAGAACGCGCCCCGGAGGAGGGTGAAAGGAGGAGGAGGAGGGCCGTTGCAAACCGAAGACTCATCAAGGATTGATTTTCGTTTTCGCTGCGGGGAGTGCCCCGTTGGAAGACAAACGTCGGACAAATTTCAACAATGCCAAAGCACTTCCTGGGACTTCATCGCCGCGAATCAACCTCACTGCTATGTCCTTACGATCCTGAATCGTGCCAGAGCACCGTTCCTGGGTTTGCCATACCGCAAATCAACGTGACTGTCGCGCCCTGGCAGTCCTAAATCGTGCCAAAACGCTATTTCCGGAACGTCAGCCATAAGAATCCTTGAAATTGCTGTAAACTCTTAAGACGGATGCGCCTGGCTTCAAGGCGAGAGCCACATCTTGAAAACGAGCCGACCTTCATCCGTGGAACTCTTGCAAACTTGTAAGACTAACGTGCGCGGCGCTCAGGCGAGGCCATATTTCGAAAACGGCCCGCCATCATGATCCAGAAACACACCAGGGCTTGAGGGCAGGAGGATTCAGCAGGCCTAGGGCAGTGCATCTGTGGCTTCGGCCATTCAGGGCTTCGTGGCAGCATCCCCACGCTCCGCGTGCCCGCATGAGCGAAGGAGAGGGGAAGGTCGCTCGCCAGGCGTTGGCCCCGGGTGGTAGACGGCGTCACCGCTTCGCGGCTGGACTGCCAGGATCTCGCTCAAGATCGTGCGATGTCGTACGATTGTTGTTGTTGTTGTTGTTGTTGTTGTTGTTGTTGTTGTTGTTGTTGTTGTTGTTGTTGTTGAACTCAGTATTGGAGAATGAGTATTGTTGATCACCCCTCTGGTGACCATTGTGTGTTTTCCCCGAAAGGGCGCGGGCCCAGGGTTTTCTTTTCCCGGAAAGGGCGCGGGCCCAGGGCTCTCTTGTAGTAGGTTTACCACCCGGTCCTTACGGGAGGTGGGCCGGCGGAATTATCCTGCGATCAAGTACTCGGTAAAGTGTGAATGTTCAGTTGAACAATTGAGTTTGTCGCGTGCCCGCATGAGCGAAGGAGAGGGTGCGGCGCGTTGTTAGCAAAATCCAGAAAACAAAAAAAAATACGTCTGGAGCCCCGACCAGGACACAAAATCTGAAAATGATAACTTTTTGCGTGCCCGCTCGAGGATGGCGCGTCCTGCGCGCAGAAATTCTGGGGAAGTCTCGAGCGAAACGCTCGTTTCGCCAAATTTGACGGGTCTGGGCGCACAAGGATGCCCAGGGGGTTCTGCCAGCGCAAACCCAACAAGATTTACAAGGGATCGCGGCTTTGGGAGTGCGGACGCCGCGTAATTTACAAGGGATCCTGGCCCTGGGAGCGCGGATGCCGCGTAATTTACTAGGGATCGTGGCCCTGGGAGTGCAAGGGCTGCGTAATTTGTACGTGTGCAGGCCACCCAGGGGGGTATCTAACATGGTTGTCCCGAGCCAGGAACACGTGTTTTAACGTGTACAGGCCACCCAGGGGTGTATCTAACATGGTTGCTCAGAGCTGGATCCAAGTGTTTTTACGTGTCCAGGCAATCCAGTGGGGCATCTAACATGAATGTCCCGAACTGGAACCACGTGTTTTTACATGTCCAGGCCGCCCAGGGTGGTATCCAACATGATTGTCCCGAGCTGGCACCACGTGTTTTAACGTGTGCAGGTCACCCAGGGGGATAGTTCACATAGTTACCCCGAGCAAGGACCACGTGTTTTAACGTGTCCAGGCCACCCAGGGGTGTATCTAACATGGTTGCCCAGAGCTGGTCCCACGTGTGTTTACGTGTCCAGGCCACCCAGGGGGGTATCTAACATGATTGTCCCGAACTGGAACCATTTGTTTTTTATGTATCCAGGCCGCCCAGGGGGCTAACCTGATTACCCCGAGATGGCACCACGTGTTTTTACGTGTGCAGGCCACCCATGGGGATATTTCACAGAGTTGTCCCGAGCAAGGATCACGTGTTTGAGCGTGTCCAGGCCACCCAGGGGTGTAGCCCAGAGCTGGTCCCGCATGTGTTTACGTGCCCAGGCCACCCAGCTGACATGATTGTTCCGAATTGGAACCGCATGGTTATACGTGTCCAGGCCGCCCAGGGGGGTATTGAACATGGCGGAACCAGGTGCTTTCACGTGTCCAGGCCACCCAGGGGGTATCTAACATGGGCTTCCTGGGGCCTTCCTGGGGGCCTGGGACGGACGTCTGACATGAAGATGTGTTGAAGATGTCTCGAGCGAACCACTTGTTGTCCATTCCAGTTTGCCCAGGCGGAGGCCTACCATGAGGTGGCACGTCCATCGGCACGTTCCGTAGCGCGTCCCTTGGCACCTCCAGCGGTGCGTCCCCGTGGCACGTCCCCTGGCACGTCGCTTGGCGCGTCCCTTGGGACGTTCCGTGGCGCGTCCTCTAGACATGTCCCCGTGTCAATTCGCTCTGGGGCAGCTATTATGTGCTGAGGCGGCTCGAGCTTACGATCCAGATCAGTTCGGCCAGGACTCGGTTGCAAAGGAGGACTCGATCCGCAACACTATAGAGCACAACCGTGACAAGGCACATCGCAATTCAGCACGGCGCAGCACAGCACAGCCTTCGGCACGGTACATCAAGCTCAATCAATTCAGCATTGCAATTTGGCGCGTTCCTTGAATCGTTCCGTGGCGCGTCCCGTGGCGAGTCCCCCTGGCATGTTGCGCGGCGCGTCCCCTGGCACGTCCCGTGGCACGTCCATTGGCACGTTCCGTAGCGCGTCCACTTGGCACGTCCCGCGGTGCGTCCTCGTGGCACGTCCCCTGGCACGTCGCCTGGCGCGTCCCTTGGGACGTTCCGGGGCGCGCCTTCCTAGCATGTCCCCCTGTCAATTAGCTCTGGGGCAGCTACTCTGTGCTGAGGCAGCTCCAGCGTAAGATCCAGATCAGCTCGGTCAGGACTCGGATGCAACGGAGGACTCGATCCAAAACGCTATAGAGCACAATCGCGGCATGGCACATCGCAATTCAGCACGGCGCAGCACAGCACAGCCCTCGGCACGGTACATCAAGACCAATCAACTCAGCATTGCAACTTGGCGCGTTCCCTGACACGTTCCGTGGCGCGTCCAGTGGCGAGTCCCCCTGGCACGTTGCGCGGCGCGTCCCCTGGCACGTCCCGTGGCACGTCCATTGGCACGTTCCGTAGCGCGTCCACTTGGCACGTCCCGCGGTGCGTCCTCGAGGCACGTTCCATGACATGTCGCCTGGTGCGTCCCTTGGGACGTTCCGCGGCGCGTCCTCTTGGCATGCCCCCTTGTCAATTAGCTCTGGGGCAGCTCCTATGTGCTGAGGCAGCTCGAGCTCAAGATCCAGCTCAGTTCGGTCAGGACTCGGATGCAAAGGAGGACTCGGTTCACAACGCTATAGACCACAATCGCGGCATGGCACATCGCAATTCAGCACGGCGCAGCACAGCACAGCCCTCGGCACGGCACATCAAGATCGATCAATTCAGCATTGCGTTTGCCTGTCGCCCAGTCAGGTGTCTTTGAAACGTTGCCATGTCTTACATTTCTGTATCCCTTTACGGGTTCATGGGTCGATCATTTTTTTAATCAGGGAAAGTCTGCTTCCTCAAGGTCCCTGGCCCCCGGGTTACAACAACGGCTCCCGCTTTAGATGTCCTCACAATTTAGCCAGGACCCCCGCTCCCGCCTGAGACTTCCTTGCATTTTATTCAGGAATCGCGCTCTCGCTTGGGACATCCCTACAATTTATTCAGGACCAGAATCCAGGAATGTATTATATATATATATATATATATATATATATATATATATATATATATATATATATATATATATATATATATATATCGGAGTAGGGCCCAGGGGCGGCCCGGGGCGGTGCCAGTAATCTCCATAGGGGGGTGCAGGGCGCCCCCGGGAGCGTCCGAAGCGTCCCGGAGGGCCCCCGGGACCGCCAGGAACAGTTCGAGACCGCCCAAGACGGCCCGCGAGGGCTCCAAGACGCACATAGATAGCCTCAGGAATGGCCAGGAAGGCCCGAAGACGTTCCAAGAGAGCTCCATGAGGCCCCGAAGGCATCCCAAGAGGCCTCCCAAGAGAGCCCCGACAAGCCAAAATCGTTGATTTTTATGGTTTTTTTTTCAGGTTTTTGGCCTTCTCGCTTTTTCGGGGTTCCGACGCTCCAAGACCGTCCAAGAGTCTCCCAAAACCGCTCCAAGACGGCCGAAGAGGCCCCCAAGACCGCCCCAAGACGGCCCAAGAGACCCCCGAAATCGTCCCAAGACGGCCCAGGAGAGCCCCAAGACGGCCCAGGAGCCGCCCAAGACGGTTCCAGGAGAGCCCCGACAGGGCTTCAAGACTGCCTAAGCGAGCCCAGCGGTCCCCAAGAGGGCCCCGCGAGGCCCCAAGAGGCCCCAAAGAGGCCCCCAAGAGCCTCCCCAGAGGCTCCCAGAGGCCCCCAAGATGGCCAAAAATGGCCCTGAGCGCGCCCCGGGACGCCTCCAGGAGAGCCCAACAGGCCTCCGAGAGGCCCCCAAGAGGTCCACTGGAGGCCCTCAGGAGGTCGTCCCCATCATGTTCCCGGAAGGCGGTCCGGGAACATGATTCCGCGCCTTGGAGGAGTATTCTGCGCTTTCCGA